CAAAAAAAATACAAGAATTCAGTACATTTTTTATAATTTTATGTATTTATTAATTTTTTAAAATAATTTTTCACAAATTTTTTACTTTTTAGATACATCTAAGTAAGGTGCATCTAAAAATTAAAAAAAATGTTTAAAATTTAAAAAATATTCACTAAAAACAAAAAAACACAAAAATCAAAAAAATCAATTTTCAAAAAACTTAATCCAAAAAGCTCAAACCAAACACAGTGAATATAATTTTGGAAAGTCTATGGACCCAAGAAAACAGACTAACAAAATAGTATGTGGTTAAGAGTTATTCTTATATAGTGGGATCTATATATGAATTAATCTCAACCATTTAACATAGTTTATAGATATTTTTTTGAAATAATTTTTTTTGAGACCATAAAACTGCTCATATAATTTTTTTATAGAAAGAGGCAAAAATAATCCTAGTAAATTGAGTAATGTCAGTGATTCAAAAAAAAATTTTGTTATACTGCTCATATAATTTTTTTTTATTGACATAAATTTTTTAGTAATATTTTTGTTATAGAATTTCTAATATTTTTGCAGTAAATTAGACAGTGAAAAGTGGCCAATGTGACAAAAGTGGTCATTGTTGATGCCTTCATTTCAAGAACCACAATGTATGGCCACAACAATAGCATCATTACCACCACCATTTAGGCACTACCCTAACCCTACAACACAAATGAACTTCAGTATTACAGTATCACTTCTTCAAAGTAAACCACCTCAGACATATAGCCTTCACTATAAACATCCACCCTACCTTCGGCAACTCATAATAATACACACTAAGATAACCACAATAGTCATCGAGATATGAAACCTTCAACCCCTCTCACAATTGTTGCCACTGCAATTCTGCGCGGCATAAAGATACCATTTTGGAACCAAGTTTTATATTTTAAAGGGAATTGTAACTACATTTTATACTACATGACAGGTTCCAATGAAATCCAAAATTTATATGAGATAATGAGCATCACAAACCAAGAGTTTAACTCCATTTGCATGCTAAAGACGACCAAGAGCAACTACCATTCCCAAAGTACATATGGTACATTGAATTCCATGACAGTAAGTAAGAGAGAATACGCATAACTTCAACCTAGTGGGAAAGCTCAAAAATTCAGAGTGTTGTCTTACATTTTTCAGACATGTTTAATTTTTCTCAACCAACACGGATCACAAAATAGAACAAAATTCAGTGTCGCCATTTAGAATTGAATTGAAATTCATTCAAGTCTGCAGCTACAAGAAAAAAACTAATGATAATGCATTTGTAACGAAACGAAAATGTAATACAAGTGTATAGCTTTCGCCTGAATTCAACCAAAATAGCTACATTTAGTAAATCATGGCAGGACGAAGACTGAAAAAAAAAATTCAAATTTTGGTTTTTTGTTTCTATTACTATTTTCATCAGAAACAAACAGAGGCGCGAATGAATTAAATCAATCACGAGTTTTCACAAAGAAAATATAGTTCTAAAATACTTTTGTTTAAATTGCTAACAAACAAATGCAATTTTACAAACATTATAAATACAATCAAGATTCAAAAAACATAGTTAGATCTATAAATCTAATGCCAAAACAATGACCTACTTTACCACCAACTAGACAACAAGCCCTAGAAGCAACAGTATGGCTCGAAAATACTACACTAATCAATGTCAAAAGCCCAATGCCTGAACATATTCATGAATTATTTCATTACTAAAGTCAACTGAAATATATAAAAAAATAAAATAAAATAAAATTTTCTCAAGCATCATTTCAAATGTAAAAATACCAAATCTGTAAGAGCCAAAGAAAGACTAGAATCAGAATTCTAAGAGAACCCTAGGCAGAGAAAAGAGGGTAAAAATCAGAGATAAGAGAATTTTACAAGAATTCTGAGAGAACCCTAGACAGAGAAAAGAGGGTAAAAATCAAAGAGAAGAGGATTTTACAAGAGGGACGATTTCAGAAATAATCACTGAAGAAAATAGGATAAAAATAAGAAAGAATGGGGTTTTAGGAGAGGGAGGGTTTCATAAATAATCAATTGAGAGGCATACCTTCAGATTTTCTTATTGTTCTTCAAATTCTTTTTTCTTTCTTTGTTGGATTAGGGTTTTAGATAGAGTGAAATTACCCACAGCCACTCCAATCACACCACCAACTGCTTTGGTTGCAGACGAGATGGAGAGAGGAGAAGAGAGAGCACAACACAGAGAGAGGAGATAGCGATAGCAGCAAAGAGAGTCGAGAAGGAGAATTGTTGCAGGAGTGACAGAGAAATGAGAAGTTGATGTTAACCGGGTGGTCCGTTCTTCCATTTTCTACTGTTAAACAAGTTCTTCCATTTTCTACTGTTAAACAAATCAATGGACAAGATGAAATTTTTTAAATCCAATGGCTCCTAATTAAGGTGCACATGATGTGCAACTTTAAGTGCTTGCACATTGTAAACGGACCCTAAATTTGAACATCCAAGTTTTAGCTATGAATGTCAGCCACATAATGACTGGCTAATAAGTTGGTTTTGTAACAAAAATGAAGGGCATGCAACTAAAAATCATACCTCCGATCAATACCCACACCGTCTTGGTTTTAAAGATTTATCCATAGAAGAGGACCCCTGGGCCCTCGTCACTACCTCAAGAACCCAAACAGCAAATAGTTTGGCTGCATTATTTCCTTCACCACCCTCAATTGTACCTTCATTTCTCTTTGCCCAATGTTTTTTCATCCGGCACCTCATTTGGAAACCCACAAGTTTGGTAGAGCCTCGTCAACATACGGATCCATAACGATCATGTCTACATTAACTGCTTCTTGAACAACACGCAGCAGTTCCACACACAAATTTGTTACTTTCCATATCCTTCTTGTCAAACAATGCACACACACATATTACATCAAGCAGGAACAAGCACCAAACGTCATCATATTTTTCTTTTAAGTAAACTGCAAAATTATCATTATGAATCCACTAAATCCAAGCGAATGATTATATAACATCAAACAAGATCCAAAGCCAAAAGTGAAATAGAAAATCAAGATCCAAAGCCAAAAGTGAAGCATAGACCATATCATGGAATCATCAAGTAAAGCTTGGATCAAAAATGAATATTCATGTAATCAAAGTAGTTTAAACAAACTTCAGACAAGCATATACAAGAAAAATCAGAAAAGAATTTAATATATATATATATATATATGAAGTGACCTGAAGAAACATGAGGATACATTTAAGACCATAAATTTTCTCAATTGACACAGGCGTCAATTACAGACTCGCAGCTTGGAGGTAAAAGGAAAATGAATAATGAATCAAATAAACAGAAGAAGAAGAGGAAAATAAATCATGCAAAAGAAAGTTACAAATTTTTTTGGTGAAAGTTAATGAATATTTGTGGTGATAGTTACGAATTATTATGGTATCGTTATAAACAGCACATCGTAAGTAGTACTTTAGCCCCAAAATCTATAACCTTACCCACTTGCCGTCGCAAAAAGTCAAATTACCGTCGCAAAAAATATTAGAGACGGCGCGCGGGACCATTTGCGACGGCGTTTTGCCGTCGCAAAAAATACTTTTTTTTGTAGTGACCATAAATTTTCTCAATTGACACAGGCGTCAATTCTAGACTTGCAGCTTGGAGGTAAAAGGAAAATGAATAATGAATCAAATAAACAGAAGAAGAAGAGGAATATAAATCATGCAGAAGAAAGTTACAAATTTTTTTGGTGAAAGTTAATGAATATTTGTGGTGATAGTTACGAATTATTATGGTATAGTTATAAACAGCACATCGTAAGTAGTACTTTAGCCCCAAAATCTATAACCTTACTTTGGTTTGGCCCATTCAAAATGTAAATAATGACAAGTGTATTTTAAATAAAATTTTCATGAGCGAAACACCAAAAAGGTGCTTTAATTTTACAAAAATCACACCTTTGTAGCATAAAGAAAAGAGCAAGCTACACGTATGTGCTTTAATTTTACAAGAATCACACCATTGCAGCAATTCCAGCGAGGGCAGGGTCATTGTCAGTTTGAGAAACTACTTCCAAGCCACTACGAAAAGGTGCAGCTTGAAAAACTACAGTATGATTAAAATACTAAAACAGGACCAGGAAAAGACAGAAGCTTAAGTTATATTTCACTTTCACACCCTATATAACAACTACCTACAATAGCTAACATACCAAAGCATGCAATTCTGACTAAAAGGGCAAATGTTCTCAGTTACTGTGAGTCTGTACTACTTCAATCATAGAAGCTGCAAAAGGGAAGCTATATTTAGGCTTTTCAACGGGTTCTTCCCCTTTCTCTTTCTCTTTCTCTTTTTTCTTTCCCTGTCTTCAATGGGTTAGGTTTTCTCTTTGTCTCCTTGGTTAGGGTTTCTCTCTATTTTCAACGTGTCCAAGAGTGTCCAGCTGTAAAAATTCAAAAAAAAAAAATGGACACGTTGGGTAGAGTGTCGGACACGTATCCACCGCGAGTCCGTGTTGTCCGACACCCATATGTTGCCTCCGGAGTGATGTCCGTGCTTCATATAGCTGGTTCAGCAAACTGATATTTTTCAGCTTTGCTTTTCAGCACGTTAGATCACCTTCAGCAGACACCTCAAAAACAAGCCAAGAAGCACTGCCATTGACAAGTTGTTTGGGCTTCTATAGAGAAGCAATTGCACCGCTTGGGAAGTCTTTGAAGCATTGGCTGGGATTTTTTTGGAAACTCAAGCATTAGATACAACACGCTTACACGCTTTCATACATGTATAGATAAACCCCAATCAAAATTTACCATTCCTAAAGGCACTCCCAACACAATCCAACCCCAATCAAAACCAACTACATTCTCACGTCCATGTTGACATAAAAAAATCATATTTCACAATTTAAGAAAAAGGACAAAAGTCCCAGTTATACCAAATTCAGTTCTTTCCTCAGGAGCCAATTTTGACAATTTTTCTTCAACATGTCATGATCAATTCAAAATCGGCAATACCAAATTCAAAATAGAAAAACAAATAAAAGCAATCGTAAGATTCTACAGTTTGAATTTGATAAGCAAACAAATAAATAAATTATTCAGATTATTGAAGGGGGGAAATCAAATTATGAATGAAAGAACACTTATGTGTGGATCACATTAAAGTCACGCTCATTATATACAAAGGCTGCTCATCATATTTTAAAAAAAAATGTAGATTGAATAAGAAAACGAGAAAGGGAGCTCATCTTATGGTTTGCTTTAAATCTCCATCCACCTATAAAATATTAGAAAAAAAGCATTTTCTTATGAGGAAATTAAATATAATAGGTGAAAAATAATCCTCGACCTATAAAAGAGATGTGTTTGTATTTCAAAATAAAACAATAAAAAGAAAAAACTTACCTGACCAATAATGGTGATGTTGTGCATGATCTAAGTTAGTTTGAACCTCGATTGTGGCATAAGAGGTTGCTCGGTGGTGCCTTAACCTTAAACGGGAAGGGTCATTAGTGATAATAATAGTTGTTTACTGCTAATTTAATCAATTCACACTCATCAGATGCTCTATGACCGCACCAAAAAAAAAAATTAAAAGAAACCAATATAATAAGGAAAAGAATGCACACCATGAAATGGTAAACTATGCATGGAAAAGTATTAATTATGGGGAAAAAAGGTATAATGCCAGCAGAGTTCAAAGTTTGCAGAAATTTGAAAAATGTATGCAGAAATGAGTTTCTTAGACTTTTTGGAATTCAAGCAAGCACCGAAAGTAATAAAACAAGGCATACCCTTCCATATCTTCCAGAAGGATTAACTTCAACAAACTTGGACTAATAGAAGAGAAAATAGGTGATTGTCTACCACTACAGAATCACCCCAATTCTCAAATTTTTCTTGTCTCAATGACCCCCTCTACCAGCCACTGTAGTTCCCTTTGACAACATGAACCCGTTGCTCTCCCATTGTGCATCATCACCACGGCACAGCCACCTCGTTGGTAAACCGCCACCTCCAATCAAATAATCACCAACACATCAATTTAATGGTAAATTGATGAGATACATACCATACCTTCTAGTATGAACCAAACTTTGATTTGCGGAATTCCAAATGAGATGTTTCCAACAAAAGGGCCTCAACCTGCTCTGGTGTGTAACCGACATATTTCCCATTGTCTATCTCTCTTGGTATCGAGGGCCACCTGAATGCTGCAGAAAGGATTTGGTCGGGTGGTCAAGAAGGGGTTGTGATGGTGGCAGGGGATTCTTGTGGTGGTGGGTGGTGTTGTCAATGACGGGTTTAAAGAAAGAAGAAAGGTGGGTCCAAACCAATCACCAATCTCAGATGATTTCTTCATGGGTGCAATGCGAGGAGAGGAGTTATTGTGGTGGTTGCAAACAATAGAAAAACACAATAGGGTTTTTGTGCGGAGGTGTAGCGGCTGCCGAGGGTAGCATTATTAGCGAATGCAAATGAGAGGGTGGTGGCAGAGGGATGACAGGGGAGGAGGTGGATCGCTGTGTGTGTGTGTGTGTGTGTGAGTGAGAGAGAGAGAGAGAGAGAGAGAAAAGACTGGGTCTTTTGAGAGATGAGATAGAAGAGAAGAGGGGTACCAGAGACAAATAAGGAGAAAAATGGGTGGGATCTCAGAAATTTGGGAAACGATTGCAGCTGTTGCAACTTTAACCAAAACAATCCCAGCTGTTCTAACGGTTTGTAAGAGAGGCATTTTCAAAAACCAAACTGCTCTGTAATATAGATAAAATTATGAAACCATTGTTAATAAAATTTTCCACCATTGTATTGCATTGATTAGGAAACAATAAGCTGCAATGAGAGTCAGATATGTATTATTGCAATTTTAGTAGATTTGTGCATTGTTTAGACTAACTCCGCCAGGGTTGTTAACAACTCCGCCGGTCCCAAGCCCGGGTTAAGGAGGAGGGTTGTGTGTTAGGTAGCAAACAGCCAACACGTAAAAAAGCCGCTCGGATCCCTTATGAAAATGAATCCTACTTTGAATCGTTTAAATGCTAGGTCGTTCCCCTCAAGTGACGCGTTGCGCCTGCCTCTGGGTGCTTCGAAAAGTGAGTAAGGGGCGCCGCATCGACGATTGGATGCGGTGAAAAATGGGCAATGATTTCTGCGTTTTTCTGGGCGAGCGCTGGTAAAGAAGATAGCCCATGACTATAGGTTTAGGATAGCCATTTGGAACATAGAAACCTTAACTAGTAAGACAATGGAATTGGTAGATGTTATGATTAGGAGGAGAGTTAGTATAGCTTACATACAAGAAACTAAGTGGACGGAAGAGAAAGCTAGGGAAATTGAGGATACCGGTTTTAAACTATATTATAGTGGTAAGGATAGACGCAGGAATGGGGGAGGAATCATAATTGCCAAGGGTCTTGTGAAGAGTGTAGTGGCGGTCACTAGGAAAAGGGATAGGATTATATTAGTTAAACTAGTTATTGGAGGGAATATAGTGAATGTTATTAGCATATACGCCCCTCAAGTAGGATTAGATGATCAGACTAAGAGGGATTTTTGAAAGCAAATGGATGAGATCTTACAAGAGATACCCGTAGGAGAGAACCTGATTATAGGTGGAGATTCTAATGGCCATGTGGACATAGATAAACTAGGCTATGAAAGGGTACACAGTGGATACGTTTTTGGTGACAAAAATGAGGCTAGAGAGAATATCTTAGATTTTGTGTTGGCTTCTGACCTGGTGGTGGCCAATACTATATATAAGAAGAGGGAGGAACATTTGATAACCTTTAAGAGTGGATTAGTTAAGAGCCAAATAGATTACTTCTTAGTGAGAAAAGTGGACCGCCTAAAATGCAATAATTGTAAGGTGATTCCTGGAGAGAGCCTGATTTCTCAGCATAAGATTTTGGTACTAGATTTATGTTTTAGAGAGCAATACCATGCTAGGAAGGATGGTGGGTGTCGTAGGACGAGATGATGGGACCTAAAAGGGGATGAACTAGAAATATTTAAGAATCGAATGGATAAGGAAGTTACTTGGAACTTAGAAGGTGATGCTAACACTATGTGAAACTCGATGGCCAATGGTATGAGGAGAATCCCAAGGGAAGTGCTTGGAAAGTCGAAAAGAACGGGACCCAACTCTAGGGAAACTTGGTGGTAGAGGGAAGAGGTTCAAGCGGTAGTTAAGGCAAAAAAATAGTGCTTTAAAAAGTGGCAAAAGGATAGAACTGAGGAAAACCTTAAGAGCTATAGATGGCTAATAAGAAGGTCAAGAAAGTAATGAAAGCGACTAAGTTGAAAGCTTATGATGACCTATACACTAGATTAGATAGTAAGGAGGGAGAGAAGAGGGTATACAAATTTGCTAAGATATGGGAGAAGAAAACAAGAGATTTTAATCAGGTAGAGTGCATCAAGAGTGAGGATTCTAAGGTATTGGTGAAGGATGAAGAGATTAAGGAAAGATGAAAAAATTATTTTGAGAAACTATTAAATGAGGAACATGGAGGTACGGCAATAAGGGAAGAAATAGCCAATAATACGATAAATCAAGACTATAGGTTCTATCGCAGGATTAGAAATTTTGAAGTGGAGATTGCACTTAAGAAGATGAAATCCAATAAGGCTTTAGGACCCGATGATATCCCTATTGAAGTTTGGAAGTGTTTGGGTAAGAAGGGAGTTACTTGGTTGACTAAGTTGTTTAGCAAAATTTTGTTGACTAGGAACATGCCAGATGCGTGGAGGAAGAGTATTTTAGTGCCAATCTATAAGAATAAAGGTGATGTCCAGAATTGCAACAACTATAGAGGAATCAAGCTAATGTGTCATATAATGAAAGTGTGGGCGAGGGTGATGGAACGCCGATTGCGAGAAATAACAGACGTGTTAGAGAATCAATTTGGGTTTATGCCTGGTAGGTCAACAATGGAAGCGATCTATCTTTTGAGGAGAGTAATAGAAAAGTATAAAGAAAAGAAAAGAGACATACATATGGTGTTTATTGACCTTGAGAAAGCATATGATAGAGTGTCCCGGGATATAGGCCCCGTTTGGTAGAGTTGTGGGAAAGTGATTATAGTTTATACTTTAACAGTTTATAACTTATAACTGTGAACATAAGCTGACTTTTGACTTATAAATTAAGCTTCTCCTCCCCCACTCAAGGAATAAGTTGATTTTTGACTTATAAAAAGCTATAAGCTGTATTGTTAAGCTGAACCAAACACATCAAAATAGCTTAAATTAAGCTAAAAGCTGAAATAAACTAGAAATAAGCCCTACCAAACAGGGCCATAATATGGTGGGTGTTAGAGAAGAAAGGGATGACAAAAGGTTACATTGATGTGATTAAAGACATGTATGAAGGGATGGTGACCACTATTAGATCGCCAGCTGGAAAGACAAATGAATTTCCTATCATTGTAGGGTTACACCAAGGATCTACTTTAAGTCCTTATCTTTTTGCTTTTGTTATAGACGAGTTGACGAGAAATATTCAGGATGACGTGCCATGGTGTATGCTTTTTGCAGACGATATTGTGCTAGTGGATGAGACTAGAGAAGGAGTTAACACAAAATTGGAGATTTGGAGAACAGCTCTTGAATCTAAAGAATTCCGGATAAGCAGAACTAAGACAGAGTACATAGAGTGTAAATTTAGTAACAGTAGCAATGAAAGCAGAGGGGAAGTGAAGATTTAGAACCAAGAACTGCTTAAGAGTGAACATTTTTGTTATTTAGAGTCGATTATCACAACAACGGGAGAGGTTGAAACAGATGTGGCCCATAGAATTAAGGCGAGATGGTGTAAGTGGAGAAGTACGTCTGGGGTATTGTGCGATAAATGAATACCCACTAGACTAAAAGGTAAGTTCTATAGAACGGCTATTAGACCAGCTATGTTGTATGGGACGGAGTGTTGGGCAACAAAGAAACAATATGTAGATAAGATGAGTGTGGCTGAGATCAGGATGCTAAGGTGGATGTGTGGTAAGACTAGACAAGACAGAATTAGGAATGAGTGTATTCGGGAATGGGTAGGAGTAGCATCGATAGAAGATAAGTTGAGAGAAAATTGATTGAGATGGTTTGATTATATTTAACGGAGACCAACAGGCAGTAACGAAAAGATGCGATGCTGTAACGGTAGATAGAAGTATTAGGGGACAAGGTAGGCCTAGATTAACATTGGCTAGCGTTATAAATAGAGATATAAATATACTTAATTTGACTAATGAAATGGCCTTTGATAAGGCTACGTGGAGGAAAAGGATTCATGTAGCCGACCCCATTTGATGAGACATAAGGCTTTGTTTGGTTTGGTTTGGTTTGGATTGTGCATTGTTTAGACTCATTGGAATGGTTTGTCCTGATTATTATTGGCATAATTACGAGGAATTGATGGAGAAAAAGATCAAACCAGTAATCAAGCTGGCCCGCTCTGGTCCTCAATGAACTTTCTGGAACAGCAGCTCAACAAGAGGACTTGTGTTGTTCAAAAGGGTCCATAACAAATTCATGAATGCAAATTACGAAGCCTTTCTTCTTTGCAAATAAATATACATGAAACAAGGACAAAATAAACAAACATACAAGAAGGACAACAAGCTTTCTAGAACTAATGCACAGACTCACACACAACAGAGGAATTTTTTGATGAGCTCAACTATATTACAAAGAAACTTGTTCAGACCTTTGAACAAGCAGAACGCAGAATAATGCCTACAAAGGTACTAGCAGTATTTTTGAGAACATCAACCATTAAATGATTAACTCAGTATGCTTGTAACCTCTATGCACAAGGGACTTCAGATCCAGGAAAATCTGCTTTTTACAGCAAACTGCTCATTGATGATCCTTTTGGACATTTAAACCCAGGGAATGCAGTATCTCGGATTCTTCTGTCATCATCATTGAACAACCTGTATCCACAGTGCTGGCAAAGGTTAAAACAAACATAGGAGTAGAAAGTTGTTTTTGACTACTACATTTCTCTGTAATGGAGATCACTCCTAGAAAAATATGTAAAACAAGAAAAATAACAAAAAGATTGATGTAATAGCCAGGTTGGGATTCAATGAGCTTGTCACACAACCAAGCACAGGAGGGAGTTGAGAATTTAACATCTGGAATGCCAATATACAATTATCATTGTTACTGGCCAGTTGAAAGAATTAGCCAGCAAAGCTATGCCAGCTTATAAAGTGGATTGGAGCACTATCAATTACAATTGCAGTGACTATACTCTCAGGTGTAGAATGTGGCCTCCAAATTCTCTGGCCCTTTAAAACAAATTGGCTAACATGTAAATGTTCTCACTATCCATCATTGTGCAAGAGATTCGATGAAAAGGATTCATTGTAAAATTAATGAATACTCCACTCCGGTGGATAGATTGCATATGCATGGTGTCCTTCAAACCCCAACAATGCCTTTTAAACAATATGTTTATTAACGTAAAAGTGATAAGAGATTAAATGATGATTTGAAGAGTTAATTTTCTTGAAAATAACAAAGAAGAAAATTTTACCATACAACTCAAGGATGGTTCAAGAGCTGTCAAGTTTGGGTCATCCTTGTGCTTGTCCCAAGCTGCTTTAAACTGTGGCCCTTTGCATCTTGGAGTTTCAGAGGGAAAAAAAATAAAACAAAATAAGATTAAGAGATGTAGGGTAAACTTGTGTATAAATATAAACAATGAATTAAAAGGAATATTAACTGCTGAAGCAAGATTAGAATCTGAAGAATATGTGCTCTAATTTCTTCACGAGCAATTTTTAATGCTGCCTCCTTGTATAGAGTAGCCAGTTCATCTACCAGTCTGAGACCACACCAAAAAAAAAAATGTCAAAAGAGAAAACGGAAGTACATCTGCACAGACGGTGAGTTGATGGTTCTTCTGTAACTTTAGAAGCAGTAGCATTCACATAATTGGGAACTGAAGAGAGAAGATAATGATGGAAGCTGAAATGATATTTGAAAAAAAGCAACTTATCAAGGAAACTACTGAGGTGTGTGGAAGAAAATTCAGAGGGAGAACAGCTAAGAGCCACTGGATCACTATAACATAGCCTACTTAAGTTTTTTTTTTTTTTTTTTAATCCTTTGCTTGTATCTTATATTATAATATTTTTTCTCGTATTTTGATGAAACCTATTAAAAAAAATTTACTGCATGATGCATATTATCACTAAATTTCTATGATGATCTTCTAGCTTTTTAAAATTGTGTTCGTTAATTTGTTTCTTATGTAAAAAATGACTCCCAAGTGCCAACACGAAGTTTGTCGAGTCTATTGACCAAATTTTATCTATTTTGATTGGCACAGGTAGGGACTTAAACCTGTGATGTGACATCAAGGTTGAGGGACCAAAGACACATGACTTGACCTACAAGGCCTGTTCATTGTTTGTAGATGTATCCAACTGTGAATTGTGACCTTAAAACAAAAGTTAGTGGTTTGATCCATTCCAGTTTTCTTTAAAAAAAATTCCTTCTTTTTTGCTAGAGAAGAAATAATCAAAGCTTTGCTTCCCATAAAAAAAAAAGTAACCATTATGAATATCCTGTACAGTGAGCTTCACCTTTCTGGAAGGGGTAAAATTCACTTACCTTCCTTGAGGTTCTATGCCGTGACACACACACAGACCCCTAGTCTGAAAAATCGGCACAACTCAACCTGATCAATCTTTAACCTTTTTTACATAATCTTTAGACATCCTTGTTGACAAGATTTACTACATAAAAATAGGGGTGCAACGCGGGCGGATTCAGTCAGGTTAGGAGGTTGTCCAAGTTCAGACCAAGTTGTGCTGAGACCTATCCAGGCTCGTCCAAGCCCGAATTTTAACCCGAGGTTGCCTACCCAAATCTGACCCGAGTTAAACCCGAATTGAAAATAAATTTCAAAATTTTTTTTTTTCAACTACATTATTAAATTATTAAAATTTGACTTTATTTACATTTTTTTTTAATATAAAAACATTAATACCATCAAAATAAATAATTTATATAATGTAAGAGAGATGCCACTATAGTAGTCCTTACAATTTATGAGTGAAAATAAAAAAAAAATAAGATTTTATGTTATTTGTATATATAACATATATTCAATATGATTTAATAATCTAAATTACTTTAATATCATGTAATGACTAGTAATTTATATGTATATTTAACATTTTTATATATCTATATATGTATAATTCGAGACTTCGGATTGTTTGACGTCTTTGCCCAAGTCCACCCAAATTTAATTCAGGTTTTTGAATTTTTGCCCAGGCCTGTACAGAATTTGAAAATATCTTGTCCAAGGACTAAAAACATTTGGATTGGGTTCGGGTTCCCGAATTGAAAATAAATTTCAAATTTTTTTTTTTTTTCAGCTACATTATTAAATTATTAAAATTTAACTTTATTTACATTTTTTTTTAATATAAAAACATTAATACCATCAAAACAAATAATTTATATAATGTAAGAGAGATGCCACTATAGTAGTCCTTACAATTTATGAGTGAAAATTAAAAAAAAAAATAAGATTTTATGTTATTTGTATATATAACATATATTCAATATGATTTAATAATCTAAATTACTTTAATATCATGTAATGACTAGTAATTTATATGTATATTTAACATTTTTATATATCTATTTATGTATAATTCGAGACTTCGGATTGTTTGACGTCTTTGCCCAAGTCTGCCCAAATTTAATTTAGGCTTCTGAATTTTTGCCCAGGCCTGTACAGAATTTGAAAATATCTTGTCCAAGAACTAAAAAAATTTGGATTGGGTTTGGGTTGCTAGGGTTGAGCCCGCGCAAGTTGCACCCCTACATACACAAGGCCAAATGTCCTCAAATTAATATAAAAAGATTATTTAAACCCAACCTGATCACACCACCATGAAGGTTTGTGGTGTTTTTCAAACAAGGGCAGGTGCATGTGTGCATCATTGTGTAAAACCTCAGGGAAGGTAAGTGAAATTTACCCTTTTGGAACATAGTTACAAAGACATGAACACATGTCATGGTCACACGAAAGTGGATCTATCAGTTTTATCTTACCATGCAAATTAAAATTAATCAAATCTATCATACCATGAAGATAGGATCAGTCATTGTGTTTACAGCAATTAACTTCGTTCATTTGATGTTTCAAATTATCAAACCAACTATTGTAATATGTTTTAGGGAAAATTTCACTTTACTCCCTTGTAATTTGGTCCATGTGTGGTTTACCTCTTATCATTTGGAAATAATTACATAACCCCCATATGGTTTGTGGAGTAAAGTGAAATTTGCCTTATCTTTTATCATCATTATTGGCATAATCTAAAGTTGTACATAACCAATCTAAAAGCTCCAAATGCAGCTAAGGACATTATGAAATAATTTATTTCCATGGGATACTCCCATATGAGCGTAAAACGTAATTACTCAGTTCACCTTTCAATATATGGCGTGTTCCTTATCCAAGTTAACTTAATAACCGTATGGACCCGTTCAAGAACCTGCATTGCAAGTTATTGAAAAAGTGAAATAATTTATCAGTGACTACTTTCAACAAACAATAATTGCACAAGAATTTATTCTTGGTTTGCCCCAACAATTTGTGTGACACACATAATGAATTGCAGAATGAGACACATTTCCTTTCTCTCTCTATATTAACAATAGTGGCTGGCACACGCAATGGGTGTACAATTCAAGTAGGTAAGAACAAAACAAAACAAAAAAATAACAAATGTATTATTAATATCACAATGTGTAGCAGCTGATGCATGTTCAATTCAAGTAAGTAAAAATAATAAATAAATAAAAAATGGCAAAGGCACATATATTGTGTGTTGCTCAAGTAGCAATTGCCTTCTTTACCAAATCAAAAGGCCTAGGTTTCAAGTCCCATTCTCCCCTCTAGCCAACCCCATTTGATGGGACTTAAGGCTTGGTTTGATTTTGTTTGGTTTGGTAAACACCATGAGAAGCCTTCACTTTATAATAGTATAGATAGATATTTAAATATAGATAGGGGTATTTTCTCAAAATATGAGACATAAACACCATAAGAAGCCTTCATTTTATAATTACAGAAAAATTACAGGCCTTTCTGCAGTGTACCATAGATTGATGAGATTCTCTCATCAAATATATTGCTCAAGTCTACATCATATGACAAAGAATCAGGATTCAGCGTGAACATAATAAACTTCAGTATGAATTCTCAAAAAGGAGAACCTGACCAAAAGTTAAGCACAAGTGTGACTGAATTTTAAAATTGGCAATCACTTCAAAAAACCTTATCAAGAGTAAAGGGAATCAATAATTCATGCAAGGAAGAGCAATTACTTCTTACCAGCAAAATTGTTTCATCATCATCAGTATGCATCCACTGAAAGAAAAGTGGAAAAATACGTCTGAAATGAGCCAGCAATACAAGACCCACAACATTGAAAAGTTGCTCAATGTGCTTAAGCCATGCTAGACGGCGCTCCTTATTTCTTGGTTGGCGCTCCAAGTGACTCAACATCTCACTTAGCATCCTTTCAATCCTATGTAAAAGTAAAACATAAACCACAATGAAAAATCTACCGAGACTGCAAGACTGATGATACAAGAAAACGGTACTTCCTAAAATAAGTTGACAGTGTAGGTCACCCACAGAAACTACTAATTCATTCCAAGCAATTGTCTACAGTTCCTAGACAATTGATTTAGAGGACTCTTATCAGCAAAGTGTATAGAGATGCTGCTTACCGCAGCATATCTGGAGAGGATTGGTCCCAGTCTACAGAACTAACATTTCTTTGCGGATGCAACCAGTAAGGAGGCCAGACCATCTGATATCAAACCTTACATGATAAGTAAAAAGAATACCACTAGTCCATAACAATCTCATGAGGCCAAATTCCAGAGCCCATTGGGCTCTATCCAGGTTAAAACTCCATCAAGTTTTCCAACATCTCCTAAGGTCTCCTTTTGAGACCTAGTTAGTCACAACTCCATATCTACACCCTTGGTCTCGACTCAAAAATGCATGTATAATCCATCACAACAAAGGCTTGGTCACCTATTATTCAAGTTTAATTCTGTAAAGCTTTTTCACCATGGAGTACGATTTACAGAGAACAATAATGCAGGGTGAATTACATATCACAACACTAATCTAAGTCATCCTTTCACATAAGACTAATATAAGTAATAGAAAAGGTATATACCATGAGCTGCGAGGATTACTCGGCTGTATACAAGTCAGTAGAGCTACTGACATCTCAACCGCAAGGTGCCATATCTCATCACTAGAAACAATATTCTGACAGCATGCATCAAGGATTACATCTTCATACCAACTAAGCTCAGCAGCATTCACATTTTTTGCAAGATGTATAAAACTAATCATGCCCTGCCCCTGAAATCAGGAAACAAAAAGAATAGCATCCTCCACAACCATACTAGCAATCAAAATGGTGAAATAATCCACAAAAACCTAACCTTACTTCCTAGATGCATCTATACACGTAACGCCACAATCTTCACAAAAATACTCAAGTACAAGAAGTCCAACCATTCAAGCATGAATCGGAGGGGGGGCACACGAGGCACAAGCACAGCTTAACTATGTTTAATGCTTGCTTTCTAGTTCTATTGCTCTTTCAAGTGTGCAAGAGCAAACCAATATATCAAGGACCACAAATATATCAAAGAAACTTTAATAATAAAAGAAAAAGAGAATACATCAGTTGCAATTCCCTTGCATGGATCCAGAGTCTTGTTTTTCTTGTATTTTTTTCTCTAGTTTATAACTTTTTCTATGATTAACATTGCCTGGATTTCAAAAGTTGATGAATGTATTGGTATCGAAGGTAAGAAGGAGGAATTAGTTCCCAAAAAAACAAAAGAGTTAAGAATGAGGAAAGAAGTTTGAAAGGGTATACAAAACCCATGAACATTTGGAAAGATGGTTATGGGTATTATGAAGTCAAAAGCTTGGGCAAAAGGAGAATATAAGATGATTGTATTGTACAAGAAGTGCTTGCTGATGAATGTAGAGATAAGTTATATTCAAAGTAGTCTTTTACATTTTTTGCAGATAAAAACACACACACAAAGGCATGCGCACTTTGAATTGGTATTGAAAATTTGTTCATGTTTTCCTTCTACTGGTTTAGATTCATATGGTTTTAAGTAACAGTGGCAGCCGTCGTAACAATAACAGAGCGCTGATGCGGTTGCAAGGTATAAAGACTATACCATCATGGAGTTGGCAACAGGAGCTACGAGTTTTTATTTTTTCACACAAGTTTGAGAAAATTTACCAATACGCATTCTTTATTTCAAAATCACATTTAGTGGCGTTCAAATGATTTTTGGTGAGTTTTATTGTTATTATAGAGATTTTTCCTTTTGTCGGATGTGTTTAATTTCTTTATTAAACTGATTGTACTTGTTAGATAACTTACCCCTTGTTATGAAAAAATATATACAAACATAATATATTTAATATTAAAAATGATAGTCTCATAAATATAAGTTCATAATAAAAAAATGTTAACATACGAATGTAAAAGTACAAAATGGTCACAGGAATGGTAACCACCGAAATTTGTGTCACACGATTATAGTGCTCGTAATGGGAAGGTAACCACCAAAACTACACGTAATGACATTACATAATAGTTGTGGCCAATTTTTAAAAGCATCAGATTTAGATATTGTTGTTTACATATATAAAGTTGTAGAAATTAAATTTAAATTCTACTCCTTTGAATCTTATTATATTAATCCAAGTCGGTCCCTCCCGATGAAATGTTACAATTCTCTCTCCAAACAATTTGGAGTTAGGTATTCACAATTTTGTAAGCCGTGTTCAAGCATTCATCATTGCTTAGATGAAACTAAGCTTTACTTTTAAAAGTGTCTCCATGCTGAAATCATAAAATATGGTGGTAACATACTAAAATTAGATATCATGCCCTTGTTTATTTCTTTGATAATTGCATAGGCACACCCAAGTCTTTTTGGGACTCAAATCCTGCAAATTACACTGGGGATGGTAGCAACTACTGCTAAAGCTGACAACTTGCGGCAAATTAGGTATTGTTTTAGAGTGCTTCAACTTTGGCCTTGTTTGGGAAGTTGGCTATTTTAGTAGACTAAAATATTTGTGTTTGGGAAGATGATTGGATTTATTTGTAGTTGGATGTGATGTTTGTGAAAGAAAAAATAAAATAATTATGATTTTAATGTGATATTTTGTCTTATTGGCTATTTTAGCCTATTTTGTTTTTTTGTGAATTTTAGCCCAAAAAGCAAAAAATATGACGCTTTACTTCATTGATCCATTCCAAACCTATGTATTCTCTATTTAAAATATTTGCACCCTGCAAGGGGAGGAGTATTGTTGATTAAGAATTGTATCCCACACTCACCTCAACCTCAAAATGCCTTTTACTACTATGCTGGGTGACAATAAAGAACTTAAATATCACACGTCAACTTAAAAATTTAGCCCCATATACTTGGGGTTAATTACATCTATTTTCTCCAGTTGGCTCTATTAAAAGCATGCTTAATGAAGAATATAGTATAAGCGAGGGGAAAAAAAAATGTGCAAGTGTAACTACTCATTGAAAATAACACACAATTTTACTCATTCAACTAGACTGTATAATTCTGACCGACCTTCATGCAACTGCAACTATGTTTTAGTTATCTGCATGCCTGGAGACTGAAAGCAAACTTCTTATTATTGCACCCTCAATTATACACCTTCATCAAAGACTTCAAATCCTCTAATTTCTTGAAGATAATTTTGTAAACCCCTCTTGAGAAGTGCTAAGGGTATCTTATTGTACCAAAATATTATTCCCCACATCTAATCTAAAAGATAATCTTTTTAATAACATGTTTTCGAATCTCTTTTATGACTACTAGTACTATTTTTATATTAAATGCGAAAACAGTATTAAAAATGGTAAGTCATTCAGAGAGCATAAATACTTTCACTTCCGGTGACCAGTGATCGAGAGATGTCAATGCACAAGGAATCACCAAAGAGCACAACCTTCCCAAATGTGGGTAGTCAACCTAAAAACAGCATAAACACATTATGTCAAACCTCACTACAAATGCAAAATCTTAATATAACCCATATAAAAAAAAAATTAAATAAAAAAATTACAATGTCATAACATAAGGCACAAACCTGGGTCACAAACCACCTAAACTGATAAGCAGCCACAATGGCATGAGCAACAGGAGACCTCGCCACCGCAGCCGAAACCTCATCACCATCCTCCGACTTATCAATCGAACTTTCCTTAATGCTCGCTTTCAACGAAGGCAACACTTGAACCATCAATTCAGCCGCCAATTTCTTCTCGTCCGACATCAATCTCAAATCGAAATCCAATTCACCAATTTTCGTTGACAACCCTTGCTTCAAGCAGCCGGAAAAAGCTTTCGAGAGGTATCGAAAGGCTGAGTCGGCGTCGAGAGAGAGCGAATTGGGGATCCATGAAAGCTGGTCGTAGGTCGAGCCTGCAGAGGAAGCTAATGCCGCGCAGCATAGACCGAAATCTTTGAGTTTGCTACGAATTTCAGCTTCGGAGAAGTCGGGGTTCGATGGCGAGTTGGTTTGAGGAAGAAGGGACTCGAGCATGGACTTGACGGAGACATTAGAGGCTTCTGGTGGATTGTACTGAGCTTTCAATAGAGATTGTCGGATTGGTTCAGATAACCTAGAAACTCGACAGTCATGTGAGAAACTATACTGATACACATTCCTATATGCAATCTATAGAGAGAGAGAGAGAGAGAGAGAGAGAGAGATGACTTACTGGATGAGATCGTGATGAAGAGCTGAGAAGGATTTCGACATTGAGGACTCTGGATTTTTCGATCCGTGAAGGTCTTTATGTACTATACATAAATAAATTTGGACCATTTATTATATCTAAAAATAAATTAAATTTAACTATCGATTGATAATAAATTAAATTTAACTATGTTAAGAAATCTAAGCTAGTTTTTGTAAAAAGTAAGATAATTTTCAATGGATTTGAAATTAAAAAAGTAATTTTTAACTTATCATAATAATTAAGTACACTTATGTAACGTTTGGTAACGTTTATATTTTTTTTTTATTTATATTTACAAAAAATTATAAATTAGTTTTGTTTATTTTTAAAAAAACATAAAGTACAAATGTATTTGATTTGAACAAAATATTTGAAAATTTTAAAAACATAAACTAAAAAATATGTTTGATCATGCTTAAAATATTTATATTTATTTTTTATTATTTATGACAATGGAATCATACACATTATAATTGAAAAAAAAAATTAATTAAAAAAATTAATTGAAAAAAATAATTGGTAAAAAATTATTTGAAAAAAAAAATAATTGAAAAAAAAATATTTGAAAAAAAAATTAATTGAAAAAAAATTGTTAGTCAAATTTTTAAATTTCTGTTTAAAAACAAACGTAAACTCATTTTTTGAGTTTATGTTTTTTCTTCAAATTTGCAAACTGAGACAACCATTTATAAATAAAAAAATTATCAAACAAGTTTTTATGATAATTTTTTAAATTTCTGTAAATATAAACTGAAAATGAAATGGTCTATTTGATATGCTTATACTTATTATTTTTAATAATTATACTTACCGTTTAATTATTAATAAAATACATTTAACCTACTATTCAAGTAACAATAAAACTAAAAAATTAAGTTATATTAAATTTTCAAAACCTCTAAAATAAATATAAAATTTATAAAATAGAATTTAAGAAAGAAATATACAAAATAAATGTGAGTTTTATACATTTTATTATAGTTTATTACATTTTATGAAATATGATTTTTTTTTATTTATTTATCTACTTAATGACAATAAATGAAACCTAGTTTCCTTTTCATTTACCACAATTGAAAATAATAAATGCAATTACTGAAGAAATATAATTAATAAAATATAGGAAAATTTAAAATTTATTTGAAGATTCCATGAACAAATTCTTAAGTTTATTTTTAAAATTTTTGAATATTTAAAGATTTAAAGATAAAATTGTTGTTGATTTAAAACTCCTTAGGCAAGAATCTATCTGCAGCTTGACATTTCGTGTTCCTTTCAGAAGACGAATAGCTCTACAGTTTGAATTCCTATGGTTCTGAATCTGATTTTACAAGTGCAATGTGAAACAGTGAAAACATAAAAAGAGTCCAAATCTAGCAATTCTTTTGAAAAATCGATGTTTGAATGAAATGCCAAAAAATGGACTATTTTACTAAATTTCAGAGTCGACATTTAAATATTTTTGAGAAATTTAGGAAACCTAAGACTGGTGCCAAAGGCCATTAGTCCCTCATCATCAAAGTGTCTCAGCTCAGGAACTTAGGTACAAGAGGGGAATGTCATGAATTGAGTACCCCACTCGCCCGATCAAAGATCGGCCTCTACTAATCATGATGTGATTTTTATTTATATTATATGCTCTTGTTTCAGTTATTTAGGCTAACTTTACTATGTGTTGCACACAAGTATAGACTAATTTGTAAAAATTAAAACACTTGATTTCATGTTTGTTTTGAAAATTGTTTCGAATATGTACCACTTGAAAAAGTGATCATATATGAACATTACTCAAATTATTCCAATTCAAGCAATTAGCTTTCATCCACAAGCATTCAAGTAGTTTATCATTTAAGCACTTAGAGCAACTCTAACCACATTCTTTACTTTTCACTAGTTAAAGTACGAAAAAAATATACTCTTTATTTTACCTAATTACTTTAGCTATTGTGTTCTCCAACCACACTCTTTATTTTAGCTAATCATTCAAACTAACTTAATTAATTTTTAAAACAAAAAATACTAATTGCTGATATTTTACTAATATAAATTTGCAATAATAATAAATCTGCCCATACAAACATACAAAACATGTAGAATGAGGAGAAAAAAAATATAAAATAAGTTATTCCGCAATTCATCAAATAAAATTGAAAGAACATATAAAATTGCTACATACACATATACATATATAAAATATATAAAATCCCAAATCCAAGATATAAATATATAAAAATCCAAGATATATACATACATACATATTTGTTTGGAGAGCCTCTGGGGCTCTTCAATTGTAACCACCAAAAAAATAGGATGGTAAAGTAGTTAGCATAGTAGCTAGCTTATTGGAGCTCAAAATTAGAACTATATTAGCTAAAATGCCTAACAAGTCTTTCTTAACTATCCCCTTGAAGATGCTCTTAGCCTCATGGCAAGCATGCTAGGCATGACAACATAAACATTCGATGCAAGATGCTAAAACACAAAATTACTCTGGCGTTCCAGTTAGCCAGACAAGTGGAAGCAGTAGTACAAGCAGCAGTAGTTCTAATCCTCAGATAGATTCCCAGAATCCGCTCCAAATGTGCAGACATTGTGAAGGTCTTTCCAGAAATTTCAAGAAAATTATGGATAAAGGCAAAAAGGTTAGTGAAGAGCTAGACTAGCTCCGAGACGAAGATAAACAATTGAGAGCAACCATTAGAACCTTAACCAACCAGCTTAAAAAATTAGCTCCAGAAAGAACACCTACCTCCTTACCTAGCCCAGAAATCAAACAACTCACAAGTGAGGAATTTGACCAATTGAGTGCTAGAATGTATTTCTTCAGGCATTCTGTCATTCGATCCCTTTGTGAGAAAAGCCAAGTAATGGAAGACCTAAAACCCTATATTTATACCTTAGCTGGAGATAGCAGAAACGATGAGTTAGTCATTATTCAGCAGTTTCTTCAAGATCTCTCCATAGCAAGAGTTGATTGCCCCGGCCTAGCTTACCAATGGACCTATACCTATGAAGATGAAGAGCAACCCTGCTTAGATGAAGAAAGATGCAATAAGAGGTCAGAACATTTTGGTAGATGTCAGTGTAACCTAGACTTCAGCATTTGCCTTTGCCAGATAAATTTAGCTACATTCGAGCCGCTGGAGATAGAAATTAGGGGCGAAACTCGTTATCTAACAGCTCCAAAATTGTTAGATTACGGCTTTGTCTCTAGACTAATTTTCACAGATCCAGATCAGACAGATAACTTCAGATACAAGCTTGCTCATGCAGTACTGTGCGTAATGGAAGAACATCATCCGTATGTGGAAGCTTTAATAGATAGCAAACTACCAGAGTGGAAGGAAATATGGTGCAATCCAGCTAAACACAAAATGTACCTCAGAGGAACTTCCACATTTCCGGGATACCCAGGACTTCTCAATAGGAGACCTTGGCCATACAGAAGATTTTCACTCAAAGACCAGCTCAATAAATGGAGAAAATTTGCTAGAAACTCTCTCCTAGCCTATAATGGAAATTATGGACATCTAGTCTGTGAAGATAGACATCAAAAGATACATTGTAATTTAGCCATCCCAGGATATCCATTCAGCAAAGAGACATTTATCGATGAAAGTCAGTACCCAAACTACCAACATGGCGTCTCTCATGAATCACCAGTGATGGGAGAAAATGATCAAGAATGGAACGATGAACCACCCATGAGAGATGGGGATGACTTTTACGACCAACTCTCAGCAGCAGATCTGACGACCTAGCAAATAGAATGTATGGATTAAAAAAAAAAAAAAAATAATCATATAATCTTGTAAGGATTCTACGTGACTCTTCCAATCTTGCATAGCATTCAAGAATCCACCTACAAACATCACTCCATGGGTCAGCATCAATAATTGGCTCTCCATCAGAAGAAGACAAAAACCAAAGAAGATAGAGATTCTCCTCAGATATCCGAAAAAATGCACGCCAAGAAAAGACAAAAAAGATTTTTGTAGATATTTTTTGAGTCTGTCAGTAATAAGGATTTTCCTTCAATCACTACTTTAATAAAGTAGATATCTCTTATCCTACTTTATTAGAGAAAAGCTGTGAAAATCTTTATACGTGTCTTGTAATAAATTATAGTGTCAAAATTTTGTCAAAAAAGAATGATTGAATGATATGCGATGGGGCCCAGAGTAGTACCCGATATCATTATCCTAATCTTTTACTGATAAAATTTATCTATAATAGTGATTTGAGTCAAGCATATAATTGAGTCAAGCATATAATTGTATACATATAGGTTTTGTCCTTATATGCACACAATCTTCAATCTTTCGTCAAAGATGGCATAAGATTAGAAAATTTTCAAAAAGCCTAAAAAGCCTAGAGTCTAGGATAGTCATAGGACTAGATTAGGATTTTTGATTTTTGTTTTTATCTTTCTTTTAAGTTGTATAAATTGGCTTGCATGCCAACGGATGAAGCAGAATGAAAAACACCACTTCACTCTGCGTTGTAAATTTTCCAACCTCTCTCAAAAACCTCTAAGTGTATTAATATTTCAGAGTCTGTAATATAATCTCTGTAAGTATATTTCTTATTAATATGAAGTGTGAGTAGTTTCTCTTTTTCCTTAAATATTTCGAAAGGGTAACTCTTCTATTCAAAAAATTTATTTTCTTTTTGGAAAAACTAAGTTTATGGAATGCTTGTTTGCTCATTAATATTACATGCTTTGAACCTTCGTAGTATCTTTAATTTTCTATTTCGTTACTGAGTGACCTTAGCTGAAGAGCCTGTGAGAGCCGTGGTTAGGCGTTGGAGGGCGAATTGTAGGCAGAAAGGGAAAAGTAAAAAATGGAAAATAAAAATATACTATGTTGAACGAGACATAGTCTCAAGGTGGGAGTACATGTAATGAAAACAAACATTTCTTAAAAATAGTTTTTACCATAGAAAAGAATTTTAGAATAAAAGGAGTACAACCCGAGTAGAAATATTAAGGAAATATTGTCCATATAAGAATTTCAAAAAACCAAAAAGTTGTATGCCCTTAGACGTAGACTTTAGAAATTAAATTTCAAAAAATCAGGA